TCTGGTGCATTAAACCGTCATAAAATCGAATAGCAATATCGTTCGTGCGCACTAGCTAAAGTGCCACGATTATGGAAGAGAGACGAATCAGGATAGAACACAATCGGCTGATCAGACAGAAGAATCAAGCAGTGGAAGGTTGATTCAGATGGTCTACTATGCCCGGTAATTCTACCCGTGATAAAAGAGATGTCAAACTTGTTCATTCTAACTAGGAATCAGGGTGCAATTTATAACATGGCGTACATGGCAAATATCACATGAGGAAATCAAGAACATTCGAGGTCATTCTGGAGTGTTGCGTAGTCTCCTGCCTGGATAGGCAATGTTGATGCGATCGTTGAAGATCAATCTGATATATCAGAGAGCGGTAAACAAAGATAGTGCTTCGCAGCAGGCGGGATAAGCGGGGTAAGCTCATCTTGCAGGAGGCATGCTTCCTCCAGGATCCACCAGAGTAGGAAGCTGACGTAAGATCTTATGCGCACGCCTGCTTATATTCTGACAACACCTATATCTAGATATACTACGCGCGTAAGGAGATCATGGAAACCTCTAAATACTTATATAACATACACTATTCGCTACTTTAATTCCAGTATACTAAGTCTATCCAGAACGAAATACGCATCTATATTTCGCACTTTTATTTAAAAATTATTCTTCCATCACAAACAATACAGTTCTACGCAGTTCTTTTGCCAGTCGCGACCCTCTTAGCTGCTACCGCTAACGCTGCTGACTGCTATTCGCAAGGCGGATCCGACTAATGCGTTAGTTCTACTGATCTTTGGCAGAACCGCGATGTAAGTTAATAAATATATATTGTAGAAGGGTAACGGATCTAGGGAGTTTTTGAAGATGCATTTAAGCTAATACTTATTACAGGAGTTATGCACTAGCCCTCTGGTGATTTTGTTGAAAACGCCGAATAGGTAAGTAATCTCCTGCTATAGACGATAATTCCGTAGGCGAAAATAATCTCTAACTTTTATATTATAGTGGTTCACTAGTGCCAACGATAACGCTTCTTTTACCTTATACAACGTCCCTACTCAACAGGCATGCTGGGATAGCCTCCTTAACGTATGTAATCAATATATTCTTTTCGAATTGTCCCTATAGCTCTTGCTATAAGCTATTGAAATTGCTAACGTGGCTCTAGATTATTGAACAGTGCTTTGGAAATAAGGATGGTGGCACGTACTCCCTGGACGGCTGGAGTGCGGACATCAACTTCTGTTCGCCAGGGTGGAGGGTTTAGGGCCTAAATATATTCGGACCTGGGGGGGGTTCTATTAAATAGTGGTAGTTTCCGATCGGTTTTTTTAGAAGTTTAATACGATTACCTAAACTATCTTTCTATCAAAAAATATTAGTAGATTTCTAGCTAGGAGGGGGTTACTGTCAGATATAGGGCAAGATGCAAGATACCTAAACCGTCAGGCAGCATATTAAGCCAGATTCATAAGGCCTATACAATTGCTAGAACGATGTTCTGAATTTCTATAAGCTTTATACTATTATATCATCATTATCCAATCGGATAATCAGGCCGGAACAAGCCGTCTTAGTATATATAGTTGTTGTACCATATAACAACTAAGGTATTTACTGCCCTATCCGCATTTACTCACAGGGACCAGCAGGCACCGCGTAACACTGGATTTTGACTATTGAATAAAGGTAAGATAATCAAAGGTCTGAGGCTGCCCAATCTTTACGATCCGATCATAGTGTGATGATCGAGGGACCTCTTTTGAATTTAGGAAATTTCACAACAGCAACTTTGATCTATCACAGATTTACCATCAAGATCCTATTCGGAAACCTTTGAAATGCCTAAACGGGAGATTTACTCAATCAACGTGCTAAGTTCACGCCAAGGGGGAGGACTAGACCAACCCTTGCTGATCCCGCGTAGCTACACACTGAACGCTCCCGACTCGGGGCAAAAAGCTGCCGCGCTCCCTTCTAGCCAGCAACAAGCAAATTTTACCACAAGTTGTTTGTGGAGCTCGCTCGCTGCCTGGATCTTGCTGGCTGTAAAGTACTGGAGTGGGTCAAAAATGAACTGGCCTTCGTTCTAGAAGTTTCCTTCCAGAGAACCGCATTTCAAAATTCTGAAAATGTCTATAGGAACCAACTTGACTTGGTAGACGCGCTTCAACTGCCGAAGATAGGATGTTGAACACTTGAAGAAGCGCCTTCAAGCCAGTCTACTAACAAAATTACTAACCCACAAGGATCTCTCCAGCTGAGAGGACATGTACTGAAAGTATCCATGTATGGGCTCGAAGGAGATACGGAATATATATATTAGGACCTATTGATAGATCAGTTTTAGTTGTCCTTTCGGCTTAGCCGCCGGGCGTTAGTGAATTTTGTGTGTGTGTGTGTGTGTGTGTGTGTACAGTGAAGCTGGTTAATTATGCACTCGGTTATACGTCAATAGAGTTAATAATACCAAAATGTGCTCGAACCCCCTATCAAGTTGCCTAAAATACTCAAGATACAGAGTTTCAACGTTTTTTTCCGAGACATTGCAGAATTCCACTCGTAGATTCCAGACGACATGTTCCACTGTGGATATTGACTTGACTTTTAAGGGTTCGGAGGGCCCATCGCTGGGCCGTCCCGAAGGCTTAAGAACCCGTCAGTGCATATATCTCTTCCCGAAATCTTATTGTAGGTCATAGAGTTGGTGATGTCTAGGCGATGTCTGATTAGCTTTTCTTGAAAGGAACAAGGGGCAAAATTAAACTACATAGACCCTATCAATTCACATGGTTTGAAATTCACCTACCTATTCTCTGTTAATTCGAACCTTCCTTGGTCCATACAAGAGTTTGATTCTTTTTAGAACTAATGCGAGCGCAAGATTGCGATCGTTGTGTTCGCCCCCGCACTTATTTGGTAATTTGACTGTGCTCGGGTTAGTGCGATCTCTTAGCTCGCTGTAGGAGCACAGAAGAAAGAGCACATAGCTTTTGACTATCGGGGTTTTAATTCAATCTGAACGTGTGGCTCACTTAACCCTGCTGGAAACCTGGAGATCCTCGGTGACCAACAGCGCCTAATACCCAGTCAACACTAGATACAGAGTCTAGTTGAAATGCGCTCCCCACTTTATTGAAGTGGACGGGGGTTACGGAGATACGATCTGGGCAGAGTTATTTGCCATGCGCTTTCCGGTAGTTCCGGTCTTACTGTTCGTGAAGTTAAAAATTCTTTGACGGATGTCCTAGGAAATAGGTCATTTTCGTTCCTGACCAGTTGTCTAATGATCTTTTTCCTTTAGGTTAGGGCTCTTAGTGAAGTGTTTGTTTTGGTTTGCACTCTTCTTGCGCCGCCCGCCTCTTCGGCTGGCTTGATTTGGCATTCTTTTAGGTTCTTACTAGTGCTCCCTGCCTCCAGCTGCGGATCCCGGTTTGCACAGCCAAGCCTTGTTGAAGGTTACTTGTCTAAACTCTTTACGTCATCTGGACCGCGGGATTGAATGCCCACTTTCCGTGTGCCTGAAATTTCTAATGTGGCTGGTAAATCAATATACATACGACGTATTTCGAGGGTTTCGGAAGACCCATTGCTGGGCCGTCCCGAAGACTTAAGAATTCGTCTGTGTGTATGTCTATTCCCTCTCCTCTTATCGTGTGACAAGATGGGATCTCATTGTATGCCGTAGCCTTTGTCCTGTCGAATAACTTTTCGTGAATGGAAAGAGAGGTTAAACTTTGTGCCATGGAGATCATACTGAATCACATGATCTTAAATGCTTCTTCTGTACGCAGCCTCTGGTGGAGCTCGGACCTTCCTAACCCACTAGAATGTAGAAGTTGGGAAGCGGGAAACGGCCTTATACTCCTATGAGACTAGCGGAGGATTGTGATCGGCGGGTTCGATCGCCTGCCGTTTTACCTCACGCTTATGGGACAATTTGACTGTGCCCGATTTAGCGCGATCACTTAGCCTGCACGAACACAGAAGAGGACTACAGCACAGGGTTTGATGTAATCTCGACTTTCAGAGCTATAGCTCAGTGTGACTGACTTGACATCCCTCCCCCGGCTGAAAATTTAGAGGTCGTCCATCACCCACGGCGTCTAACACCCACTCAACATTGGAATGTTGATGGAGCAACCCGACTACCACTGTCGGTCCGCGCACGCACTATGGGCGACGGAAGCACGCAAGTCGGACCAATCAGGATGGTGAAGACTGTCGGTCCCGGCCGCAACTGGGGTATGGAACTGGGTACGTGCCGTCTGGGTTGAGTTCAATTAAAACAAAGAGGCGCGGATGATGTTTTGCCCCGAGTTCTGAGAGATTGGGACCTCTCATCTAATCACAACTTAGGACATGGTAGTTCAGACATTCCGTTTTACCCGGGATAGATGAAGACGGGCGCATGAAATGGCTCTTATAAAGCCGCAAATGTAACCACACGACGCCACTAGGAACATTTGAACCTGACCAGTCTCGGACTATTCAAACGCACGCTAGGATATGATACAGGGCGCTAACCAGGATTTGGCCGCCTAGAGTTGACAATACCTAGGCAGCTGCGTTCTACGAACATAATTGGACTTCTCTTGCGAGAATTCCCGGCTAAGGTTGCATCGCAAAATTATATCACCATCAGAATTGAGCAGCTATAAGATGAATATATTTTGCCTAACCTTGCTTCTGTTTCTACACCACTGTCAGTCAATAGTTGCTTAGAGCATCGGAGGTATGATCCATGAGCTTCTGACTCATTGGCTTCTCCAATTCAGCGAGTGGTTCCAGAGCTAACAATCTGTTAACCAGAGGGTTGTCACCTTCATTTGCTCTAGTATGTTCATTTATAATTTAACTCACGATTGTTGATGTGTGGCCTGCGAGGTCCATTGAAAATAGACGACTTACATCGCTATTAGGGACTCGGAAATTGTCTCCGTCACGAAGTCGACATGCTCATGTTCGCATCCCTTGCGTACTTCCTTTTGTTTTTGGCCACTATGGCTGAAGGACTTGCCCGATACCAGTCCACGCCCCCGAGTGACGTGACTGTCTTGCACGACAGACAATCCCTCAACGATTTTGTCAAGGCCAACCCGGAAACAATCCTCTACCCCGAGAATGGAGGATACTATCTCAAAGATATGGACGAAGAAGTCCTTGCCATCACAGCTGACGACTTAAGCAAAGAATTAGACGCTGCTGTTGCCAGCGTTGATTCCGACCTCCTTGGAAACGACTCTGCTTCCGACAGTTCAGCTGGATCTGGCGCTGCCGCAAATGTCACGAAGAGGAACGAGGATATGCCTTGTTACCCCAACTGTCAGCACAACTACTGCAGTCACCCCCGGTGCTTCAATTCGGCAACCTGTCTGCACTACTCATTTTGCCACGTGTGTTTAACAAGCTCGAGAAAAGTTTGTATCTAGGGCTTGAATGTGTCAGCACCCAAGGTCTCTCATCACATGACCTTTATGTATGCCTGAGCCGTCAGGCTGTTAGCTTTCTTCTGCAGAAAAGATGCGCCCTCCGCATCTTATGCTGATCTCCAACAGATCCTGCTGTATCCGCCATGCGGGCCCTTCGAGGCCTATATAGTCTACATCGGATGCAACACGCGCATATCCATGCTTTATGTTTGCTTATTTCAGATCTCTCTGGTCCGAACTGCGCCATTCCTTCGTGGCTGAGAGCTGCCTAACCAGCTTCTCATCTCTTCTATAAATTGCTCTTCTTTTTGTAGAATAGATTGCAGCGCGTCCATCGATATGTACAGTACAGTACACATAGGTCACTGCGAATCCTGGAGAAGAATCTTGGCCTTCCATCCAATTTGTTGGAGGCGGCCCTCAATGTAGGCTGCGACTTCGCGTAGTGTCGAAGCTCCGCCAACGCATGACTTCGCTTTAAGGTGTTGTGCGAGTCCGCTAAGAGTTTTGAACGACTGAACGAAGCCAAACGCATGTGACTTCGTGATAAGGACGCCGGACAGTGGTAAATAGGCTTTGCGTGGGCAGCAGAATTTCGATGTTGATCAAGTCAGCAGAGAGTGTGGAAAGCAGGCTCCTTGACTAATTCTAGACAGGAGCGAAGTTGTTATGGTATTGACCTCTATAAGGCTATTCACACTTTTCGGCCTGAGGCCACCTGAGAGGTTGGCGATAACGCACCAGTTCGGTGATCTCTTACCCCCCTCCACCGCTGTTTCGTCCGAGGAGAGTTGCCCGCTGACCGATATATTTCTTATGCGGGCTGATACGTATACCTGGTTACCCCTCCTTCTGTTAATAGGGGATATATATAAGATCAGCCTAGGGAGAAGAAGATAGAGCTCTCTAAGAAACAGTCTCTGTTCTAATCCGACTTAGTGCTTATCCTCTCCTACCTAGTTAACAGGCTTACTACCCTGTAAGTAGTTAATATTATAACAATTCTGTTTCTTCTTCTTCGACTACCTAGGAGGGATAATACTAAGGACTCGCTCTATCCTCTCCACTAAGGGGCCCCGTATCCTCCTTATACCTAAAACGAACTAATAACTATAGAAACCGAAACTATCCCGTTAGACCTCGACCTAAACCTTATAGCTACTTAGGCTACTATCGAGAAACTATAGCGCCTAAAAAACCTATAGGACTAAGCGGAACGTCTAAGATCCGAAGTTCTAGGCCGAAGACCCGACGATTTCCTATCGAATTCCTACCGGGAACCCTACTACCTATCCGGAAAAGACTAGGAGATCGAGCTTAAAAATCTGTCTATCTTTACGCTAGACTATATACTCTAAAAACGTTAGGAATAGCTCCTTGGTCTATAATAGATATTCGAGGGCGTACCTAAGCGATATTAAAATAATTATACTAAAATCCTTAGAGCCATTAGCTATATAAACTAAACCTATTAGTAGAGATAGTACTAATACGCTAAGGAAAAGGGATCGACTACCCCTTGAAACCTTAAGGAGGATTAGCCCTATTTTAGGGACTAGACCCTAACCCTTATTAAGAATATAGCTAGTCTCGAATCTAATATAATAGGATAGCTTAAGAGAATCTACTAATACCGAGATAAGGACCCTCGCGAGTTCTATACGCGCCTCGATATACTAGAATAGTTGTGAGATATTCGGTGTGAGATATAGGGCAAGATGCCTAAACCGTCATGCAGCATATCAAGCCAGATTCATAAGGCCTATACAAGATGGCTGAATCTCTATAAGCTTTATGCTATACCATCATCACTGCGGTCAATGACATCAAGTAAGACGTATACAACAGTATACGATCTACATCATCACTACGGTCAATGACACGATCTACATCATCACTACAGTCAATGACATCGTACAATCAAGCAACCACCGATCAAACAGCTACTGCATGAGATCACTATGCATCTAGATCTGTCTGCATGAGATCATCATGCATCATCTAGAACGATCACATGCAAGAGACAAGTTGATTATAAATATGCCCTGCTTTCTCTACCAAGATAATAATAATGTTTAATACATATAAGCAAGATTCAATACAATCAACCAAGCTTCAGTCCTACTTTACTTTTCTCTCATCTTTATGATTCTAAGCCGAATTGAACTTATCCTTCCTATTCAATCAAGAGGAAGAAAGATCAATCGATCTTATTTTAATCATCTTTAATTTATCTTCCTCTTTACCAACCTGCGCAGCATCGCTTGCTCACATAGTATCGCTAGTATTTAAACGAGTATATAATAGCGAATAGTTCCTAGTCTAGTATCCTATATAGGATTTCCGTACTAGAGAACTTCCGCGACTAGTACGCTACTAGGTACTAAATACCCTAGTTATCTAGTTAGGAAAGAATCCCTACTATCGTACTATTAGACGCGTTAGTCTCTAGATAAATTAGTCTAGATAGGTTAAAGTATCTTAATAGAGGTACCGTCTAGAAGGTAAGGATTAGGCGGCGAAATAAGAGCCTCTTATAAAGGATTAGGTTAACCTAGCCTAGCTTACGCCTATTCTTACTTCCTTTTAGGAGCCCTATAAGAGGTAATATAATCCGAGAGTAATCTCGGATAAACCTATAATAGAAATTACAGATTCCTAGGAATACTTAGATATCCTAGTAAGTCTTAGGAACCTCCTACGAAGCAATATCGGAAACCTACCGGAGATCTATTAAAATACCCTTCGAGGAGATCACGAAACTAAGAAACTCGACCTAGTCTTAGTAGAATAAGTACTTACTTTATTTTACGTATAAACCGGCCGATCGTAGTCGGCGAAGTACCTAGAGAAGGTAGTCTATATAGGAGTCTTAGTCCGTCGAAAAGACTAAGATATCGTCGAGATATACGACTTTAAAGATATTAAGTACGTTATAGAGCGTTATATATATATAGTTTTAAAAGGTAGTGGGTATATTTGTTAGGCCGAAGGGTATAATAGTATATTCGAAGTACCTATAGCGCGTCCGGAAGGCTTTTTTCTACTTATCTCCTTCCTAAATACGAATTCGGTAGTATATATCCTAGATATTAATCTTACTAAAAATCTTAGTACCTAAAAGACGGTCTAAAATCTCCGAAATAAGGGGTAAAGAGTACTAATTCTTTACTAAAACCTTATTAAGTCCCCGGTAGTCGATATAGAGACGTAGACTTCTGTTAGATTTTAGTATAAAGAGGATTAGAGCGCCTACTAGGCTCTTAGATTCGCGGATACGGCTATTCTTAATATTTTCGTCGAGATAATAACGAAGTTTAGTAAGCTCTTTCTATAAGAGAGGGTAGATTAGTCCGTAGAGCACTTTCGTACCTAGGAGTAGATTAATCGCGTAGTCGTGGTTACTAGATAAAGGTAGGATATTAGTAGTCTAAGAGGTAAAGGTATCGTGAATCTCTATAAGCTCAGGAGGTAATCGATAGGTATCTGGAGGGTCTTCGGTAGTATCTCTATTAATAGGTAGCTATATCTCTTTAGGTAGGTATACTATAGTAAAGATATACGTATAATTTTAGGCCTATTTTATAAATTTTTTCGCGGGTAGTACTTCGATAGAGGGCGTCCTGAACTACTAAAGGCTACCTCGTCCGGATAGGTATATATTAAGGTCGTGAATCGTAGTTATAGAAAGGAGTATTAGGCTTCTATATAGTCGGGGGTCTTAGTTAATCGCGACGTATACGCGGGTAAATTAACGCGTAATACCCCGGGAATCGGTAGCTTTGAGCAGGATAGTCTAAACTCTATATATTAGCGTTGATTGTTAGTTAATAGCGTAAATAAGGGGTTCGGATAGTTTTGCTTATTAAATCTTATAGGTCTTAACGAATTCGAAGCTAACAAGGTTAACTTTAGCTCTACTATCGAGATCCGTATAGGTTTCGATACTACTTCGTGTAGTAATTAGTATATAGAACTATCAGAATATAAGCAGGCGTGCGTATAAGATCTTACGTCAGCTTCCTACTCTGGTAGATCCTAGAGGAAGCATACCTCCTGCAAGATAAGCTTACCCTGCTTATCCCGTCTGCTACGAAGCACTATCTTTGTTTACTGCTCTCTGATATTTCAGATTGATCTTCAACGATCGCATCAACATTGCCTATCCAGGCAGGAGACTACGCAATACTCCAGAATGACCTCGAATGTTCTTGATTTCCTTATATGATATTTGCTATGTACCCCATGTTATAAATTGCACCCTGATTCCTAGTTAGAATGAATAAGTTTGACATCTCTTTTATCACAGGTAGAATTACCGGGCATAGTAGACCATCTAAATCAACCTTCTACTGCTTGATTCTTCTATCTAATCAGCCGATTGTGTTCTATCCTGATTTGTCTCTCTTCTATAATCGTGGCACTTTGGCTAGTGCGCACGAACGATATTGCTATTCGATTTTATGACGGTTTAATGTACTAGACGCATCGAAAATTCTAATAAGAACTAAGTTCGCGTCCCTACTATAGGGAGAGACGGAGGCGTAAGGTTTAATCCGTCTCGCTACCGTTTCCCTATTTAGCACTTTATATAGTAGTAGGTTTCTCGCTTATACCCTTCGGATAGGTATTCGTGTAGTAGCCTAGCTTGCTATATACGTAGTATATAATACGATCCCGGCCTGTTTCGGTAGGGTTTCGAGAATCCTTCGTAGGAAGTTCGTGAGCAAGCTAATAGTCGTTACTTTAGTAGCTACTACCTCAGTATCTATCTCGATAAGTTCCCCTATAGTAGCCTCTATAGCCGCCTCTTCGGGAAGGGGGAGACCTTTCTAGTCTATCTATCGATTTCTAGGAGGATTCTCTTCTATACCTCTATAAGGGTCCCGATAACCTTTCGTCGTATTTTCGTTTGTAGTTCTCTTCTATTTTATTAAGATCCTAGAAGTAGTAGACGACGTCGATTATATCTTCGCGGGTCTCCGGTAGTTTAATTAAAT